CTTTGGGAGACTGAGGCAAGAGGATCACAGAGAGTTAGGCCAGCCTGGGTGGCATAGTGAGTCTGAGGCCAGCCTGAATTACATAGCAAAACCCTATCGTTAAACAAAACAAAACAAAAAAAAAAAAACATGCAGAATGTGGACAATGAGTTAGCTAATCCGAAGTGCTGTCTCCTGTTTTAGGCTGCTTACTTGGCCCTGTAAGTGCAACAGCCATGGCCAGCCAGTTGCAAGGAATTCAGCAACTGCCATAGGCGAAAAAGAGAGTCTTGGAGGAACAAAAGAACTGGAGACTTTAGCAGGCCAAAACAGCTTTGCTGAGACTGAACGGTGCCACCTGCAGAGGGAGAAAGATTTCAAGGCCAAGGCAGTTGCAGCTTAGGATCCCATGGCAGCTGCAGTAGTGAAGTGGAAAAGGAGACCCAGGAGAAGATGGCCATCTTCCATACCTACTTCCAGCCGAACAGGGAAGAAGTCCTGGATAATCTCTTGGTCTTTGTCTGTGACATCTGGCCAGGAATCCATGAAAACTCCCTCATAAATGGATAGAAGGAAAAAGTGCCTATTCTGTGGATTGGCATTGTAGATGCTGACACAGACTATGAAGCTTTAGAAAAGTCAACTTCTATTCCTATAAAATCCACTAAATTATTTCTTATGTTCCTTTCACTTTTTGGAGAGTAGCATATCTAGTTTCTTTGGACAACAATATTTTCTCCAAAGATTTCATCTTTTACCTCATATTTCTTAGAAATTTAATGAATAAGGTCAGGGATATAACTCAGCAGCACAAGCATCTGCCTGGCAAATGCAAGGTCCTGAGTTTAATTCCCAATACCAAAACGAAAAAAAATTCAATGAATGTATGTTGTCTGTTTTCCTATACTTTTTAGCTAAGGCAACATGTATGTCAGTGTTGATTTTTTTCTTAGATGTAGAAGGAAAAACAAAAACAGTTCTTTAAAGAGAAGAAGGGATTGAATAACTTTTTCCTTTATACTTCCTTGAAGGTCAGGGACTTTTTCTATGAAAAAGTAGTAAAGAGTTATTTGTAACTTGTGTGAAGGGTAGTGTTATGGTTCGATAACTAGTGGTCACTTAACGCCAGCTGGATTACATCAGCATGTATTGAGAGAAGATGCTCCACCTGAGGAGGGTTGCCAGGATAAATAGGTGGAGAAGAAGAGAGGTGGGAGAGGGATTGAGGCGTTATGGAGGTATTGTTAGTTCTCCTACAAGTTGCTGTCTGAGCTGTTGGTTCTCCTGTAGAAGCTTTGGTCTTCACATTGAGCATTGCTTCCTGGCTCCGGAGGGGAAGACATGTGCTGCCTGGTCTCCAGGATGAACTCCTCACGCTGCTTCCTGGCACGTACCCGACTATGCTTGTCGGAGGAGGAGCTCGGGGCCTCCGTGTCGCTGAGGACAGCTGTGGTTCCTTTCAGGACAGTCCCGCTCTTTGTTGTGAGTGTGACTTCTCAGCTCCAGTGTAGAACCCTCATCCCACTAGCACAGCTCCTTCATCCTGCTGGCATGGACTTTCTGGCTTCCACCACTGACCCTTGGGTCTTCCCGGCACGAATCCGTAAAAGAGACTGGCGTGAGTCCTTGTGGGCCCTGGACTTCCAGTTGGACTCGTGGAGGCGTTGTCCTGAGCTCTGGGTTTTTATCTGGACTCATGTGGGACATTGCCGTGGGGTTTAGGCTCTTGACTTAAATAATCTATGTCGTTGGTGTTGCAGATAGATTTCCTGCATTCTCCTGTGTTAACTTCCAGTGACCATTATAAAAATATTATAAACTCCATGTCCTGACCTGAATTGTTCTCTGTGTACAACCCCTGACTACAACAGGTAGTCAGCCTTAAAATAGTATATTCTGAGGAAGAATTAGAATAGTAAATACCAGTATACTTATGTGGGATGCACTTAGTTTATTTTAACCATAATTACTAGGTGAGGTAACTGTGCTGGTGCACACCTGTAATCCCAGCACTCAGGAGGCCGAGGCAGGAAGATCACGAGTTTGAGGTCACCTTGGGCTACCTAGTAAGACCCAGGTCAGCCTGAACTACATGAGACCCTGCCTCAAAATAACACTAAAATATTTACTAGATGATGGGATTCAAGAATGTGTTATTTGGTATACCAATAATCATTTACAAGTAAAGACTTTGTCACGAATTTAAAAAAAAAAAAAAAAAAAGAAAATCCACCCTGTTTTATTACCTGAAACTAGGTTTCTTCCTCTGCATCTACATTCCTTGCCCAGTGCTCTGGTCTGACTGGTTTACCAGTTCTGGCCCTTAGTTGTGTCCTTCAAGCTATTGCGTGCTCTTGTCTGTGACTAGGGTTAAACAAAATATCTTAGTTATGATTCCAAAAGCATAGTCTACAAAAAACCAAATTCATATATGAGCACTCATCAGGATTAAAGCCTAATACTCTAGGGTTTTTGTTTGCTAAGTGCTAGGAACTGATTGTGGGGCCTTTTGAGTGCTAAATATAGTCTATCATTGAACTATATCCCCAGCCCAAAAACTAGGGCCCTCTGAAATACACTGTTGAGAGAACTAAAAACAAGCCACAAACAAGGAGAAAATATTACATATCACATATTTGGCATTTGTATCGAGAATATATGAAGGACTCTCAAAGCTCAATAATAAGAAAACAAAGAACTCTATTTTTAAAAAATGTAGCTCAAAGGGGCTGGGGATTTAGCTCAGCGGCATAAGTGCCTGCCTTGCAAGCAGGCAGTCATGAGTTTGATCCCCGGTACCAATAAAAAGGAAAAAGACAAAAAAAGAAAAATGTAGCTCAATGACAGAGTGCTTGCCTATCATGTGCGAGGTCAAGGGTTCAGTCCTCAGCACTGAAAAAAAAAAAAAATTTTGAAGGAATCACTCACCACAGAAGATATACAAATGACGACTTTTGCTGCATGTGAAAAAAACACCATATCCAATGTCATTTGTCATTAGAAAAATGCAAACTAAAAAACCACAGTGAGATACCACTACATACCTAAATTTTACAGTCTGATTATATGAAGTATTAAAGAAGATATGGAGAGACTGGAGCTCTTGAAATCTGCTTTGAGAGAATAAAATGGTACTTCAACTTTAGAAAACAGTTCACCAGTTACTTAAAAGTTTATATGCACCTACCATACAATCCAGCCATACATTCCTTGATATTTACCCACATATAGTATACAAAGATTAGTATATCAATATTCTTAGTAACATTATTTATACATGAAAAGGTGGAAATGATCCCAAAATCCATCAATAGGTGAAAGGATAAACAATGGTAATCCATGTAAAAGAATGCTTCTCAGGAGTGAAAAGGAATGGACTACACTTTATAACACAGATGGATCTTGAGATCATTATGCTAGACAAAATAGATCAAACAAAAATATATACTGTATGATTTTATTTGCATAAAATTCTAGAAAATTCAAACTAATCTACAGTGCTAAGAAGTAGATCTGTATTCAGGAGTAGAGGGGGGTAAAAGATAGAGATTACCAAGAGGCATGAGAAAATTTAGAGGGCGTACACATGATCATTGTTTTGATCATGATAATGGTTTTATATCAAAACTCATAAAATTGTAGTTTATATATACACAAATATGTTCACTAACTCTAAAACTGTATGTAATTAAAGACAGATATTTGTACTGAGGAGGGGAACTACACCCCTTGAATGTATTCACTTCCATGATTGTTTGTTTGATGTACATTTCCTCACTTACATGAAAATTCCATAAAAAATGGGACCATGATCAGGTATGGTGGTGTATGCTTATAATCCCCACACTTGAGGGGCTGAGGCAGGAGTATCGTTTCAAGTTCAAAACCAGCCTTAGCTACAAAGTGAGCTCAAGGTCAGCATAAACTGCATAGTGAGACCCTGTCTCAAAAAGACCAAAAAAGAAAGAAATGGGACCACATGTATTTGCACAAATGTATCTCTAATCTTCAACATAGAATCTGGTACATATAAGAGACTTGACAAATACTTGTTGAGGAAAAAAAAGAGAAACTGGGCATGAGATCATAAGTCTGTGATCTCAGCATTCAAGAAGCTGAGGCAGGAGGATCACCATGAGTTTGAGGCCAGCCTGGGCTACACACTGAGTTAAGGCCAGCTTGAACTATATAGTGAGACTCTGTCTCAAAGAAAAGAAAAGAGAAGAAACAGAGGAGAACAACTCAAGTTTAGCTCTAGGACAAGGGAAGAATTTATTGCTACTGATAGATATCAGGCAATTAGGAGAGACAGTCCAAAAGATTGAAAGAGAGCCAGGGAAGCAGGAGAAAGAACTATTTCAAGGAAGAAACAGATTAGAAAAAGGTCTTTGGACTTTTGGGGTTAGCAGTTAGAAACATTGGTGATCTCAAAAAGGGGTTTTCAGACCCAACTCATGCTGTTTCCCCACCCCCACCACTCCCCACACCTGGGGTCTATTCACTGGGCTCCATTTGCACGGGAAAGCCACCCGAGTCCAAGACTTCATAATCATTTCAGTAAATTAACTCCTTTCTCTGCTGCCAGTCTTGTTCCCATTTACCACAGAGTAGCTTGGATAATTGCTTTAAAGTATAATGGAGGCTGGACATGGTGCTCAGGCCCCTAATCCTAGCTACTCTGGAGGTTGATGCAGGGCAGTTATAAATTTGACCAACTTACCAAGACCTTGTCTCAAGATAAAAATTTAAAAGGGGCTGTGGATGTAGGTCCATGATAGGGTGTTCCTGGGTTCAGTGGCTGGTACTGAAAAAACAAACACATGCCTGGCTCCTTGTCATGTAGTTCCCTTCTTTATCCCAATGGTTAGTACTGCTAATGTGCACCAGCTGTGAAACTGCCGACCTTTGTCACTTCATCAGCTGGAATCAGGCAAGGTAACTGGGATTTGAAATTAAAAAACAAAAGAACCCAAATTCACAGTTTTTGAAGGTCAAAAATCTGGGAGAGGCTTACCTGTGTGCTTCTGGCTCTGGGTCTTTCATAAAGGTAAAACAGAAGTATAATATTCCCATCAAGCCTGTAACCTCAGCCCTAGGGAGATTCAGGAAGATCACAATGAGTTCAAGACCAACCTGAACTATTTACATAGCACAATTATGTCTCAAAACAACAACAACAAGAATAACAAAACAAAACAAGTCAGGGATTTAGCTCAGTGGTACAATGCCTACCTGGCAAGCACAAGGCCCTGAGTTTGATTCCTGATACCTCTCTCCCAAAAAAGATTATATATATCTATATTAGAGGTATTAGCTAGGTTTTCAGTCATCTGAAGTCTTGACTGATTTTAAGATGTATCACTTGCATGGCTCTGTAATCCCAGCACTTGGAAGGCTGAGGCAGGAAGATCACTGTGAGTCTGAGGCCAACCTGGGTTACACAATGAGTTCAACTCCAGCCTAAACTACATAGTGAGACCCTGTCTCAACCAACCCCTCCCCGCAAAATGAAATAGAACATTTTTCTAATTTTCTTGTTATTGTTATTACTATTCTCTGGAAGGTTAGAAAGAGGCTTGGTTGATATTAAAAAATAGTAAGATCTTTATTTTTCATTTTTTCCCCCAAGAAGTCTTTGATAATGAGAACCTATAATACTGGGATCAGAAAAAAGAAAATCCAATTCTCCAGCCCTTTAGATGGTATAGGTATGTAAATCAGACCTATGAAGCAGAGTGGCTCTTTGTGCATCTTAATTAGAACACAACATTTCACAGCATTTATAGGTATGTGGATTTTAATGAAGTTCATTTCTATTAACTCTCTGGTCTCATTCCCACTAGGGAAAACAAGGTCAGTAGGGAGCAGAAAGAGGGCAATAATGGTGAACAAGGATAGGTGTGAGAAACAGAAATGGCCTCAGAGAAGTCATATTTATTCTCATCTGCTGGGGAATCACACTGTCCTCCCAAAAGTTAAGTTGAGCTGGGAGTGGTAGTATACCCTTATAGTCTCAGAATTTGGAAGGCTGAGGCAGGAGGATTGCCATAAGGTCAAAGTCGACCAGATCTCAATTGTGAGACCCTATCTCAAAAAACAAAACAATACGAAAATTAAGACTAGGACCCCCAAGTCATTCCCAAACCACCACCACCTTGTATTTTATCCTCACCATTCTTGCCCTAGCCTGAGAATTCATCCTCCTCTGCCATCCCCAACTCCCTAACTTCTCAATGTGGAATATATTATCTTTCTACCTCCCTCTTTCCCACCCTCTTACTCTGCCCCTAGAACTCATAGCCCTTGAAGGATAAAACTTAATTTTGTCATTAAGGTGCATAAATATGGGACCCATGTTGTTATAGTCAGGGGATTGCAAGGAAAATGATTACATACAGGATATGTAATTTATAGTATTATTTATAATGGTCACCTGAGCAGTCAAATACAAAGAAAGTGCAGGAAATCTGTCCACACATAAAGACAGAAAATCCAGCTGAGAGCCTGGATCCCATGGCAGTAACTTGCATGAGTTCAACTGAAAACCTAAAGCCCATGACAATGCCTCCCATGAGTCTAACTGAAGGCCTAGAGCTGACGACTATGACTCAGGCAAGTCTGTTTCATGGATCTGCACTGGAAAAGCACAAAGATCGGCGGTGAAAGCCAGAAAATCTGTGCCAGCAGCATGAAGGATCTGTGCTAGCAGGTTGAGGGTTCTGCACTGGAGCTAGGAAGCAACACTCAAAGTAAGGACCAGGGCTCCCCCGAAAAGTATCACAGCCATCCTTAGTGACAATGAGATCCTGAGTTCCTCTGACAATGAGAACAGCCGAGTTTGTATCAGGAAGCCAACATGGCAAGCTTCTCCTGGAGATTGAACAGCACACATCTTCCCCTCCAGAGCCAGGAAATGACGCTCAAAGTAAGGAACGAACTCCCCTAAAGTGAATCATAGCCATTCTCAACAAGGTCCTGAGCTCCTTTGAGGATGAGAACAGTGAAGTTTATATCAGGAAAGATGCTCAGCAAGTCCATAGCAACAGGAGAACCAATAACTCCAAACAACAACACCACTTAGGAGAACCCATAACACTACTCTTTCTCACCAGGCCCCCCCATATTTTTTTTTTTTTTTTTTTGGTACCAGGGTTTGAACTCACGACTTCGAGTTTGCCAAGCAGGCACTTACTCTGCTGAGCTAAATCCCCGACCCCATCAAGTCTCCTTTTTATGCTGGCAACTTCTCTAATGTAGGTCATTTACACTCAGCACCACGCCAATTCAATTCAGCAGGTGTTTAAATTGACCATCAGTTTTCAATCCACCACACACATTTATACTTTAGAATATTTCTATTGATAAATTATTATAATTTTATGAGTTTTATTATATTAAACAATGAGTACTTAACAGGAAAAAATCACAAAAATAAAATTTTGAGATTTTAATATCTACTGAGTGTGTAAAGAATCAAAATTTTCAACCTCAACTGGTTTTTGGTGTACAAAGTCTGAAAGAGACATTAGAAGTAAATTCTCATATGAACTACAATGAAAATACCAATAACACTCCAAAAAAATCTTTACTTCAATTGTCACACCTAAGGTAGTCTGCACACATGACAACAATCTGATATATACATGTAAATTGCTTACACTGACAGCACATGTCTTTTGCTTTCCTGGCCTTTTTGTAGGACACACTTGACATCTCAGTGGTCTTGCTGTTTCGTCAGGAGATTCTTATCGTATTATACAGTGTGTAGCTAACAGAAACATAAAAATACCAATAAGATAAATCATTAAATTCTTAATATGTATTGTGCATTTAAAATAGACATCAGTAGGGGGCCAGGGATATACCTCAGTGGCACAAGTGCCTGCCTGGTAAGCTCAAGATCCTGAGTTCCATTCCCGGTACCCCCCAAAAAACCAAGGATATCAACATTTTCATATCAGCTCAGTACTTGCTTATAAAGCCTAAAAGATTACATCAGAAATAAATTCCTATGTGAATAACAATAGCACTCTACCACAGAAATTAGTTTTGCTTCAACTGTCACACCCAAGGCAGTCTTAACACATGACAAATTACTACATGTTTCATGCACAGATCTCCCTTACACAGACAGCACATGTGCTAGCTTTTCTTTCCTATGTGGCAATCTTGTCACTTCTCTTCCTGTTTTATCAGGAGCTTCCTACTATATTGTACAACTTACACTATATTGTACAACATATCAGGGAAATAAGACATCAGTAAAGTACAATGTCACCCTTGTAACGAGTGATCAGAATAGACATCAACATTTCACAATTGTTGTTTACTTGCTTACAAAATCTAAAATATAATGTCAAAAATAAAAACTTATGTGAATTACAGTATAAACATGAACAACAGTATACCACAGAAATAACTTTCTCTTCAACTGTCACACCCCAGGCAGTCTTCACACATGACAACTGCATGTTCCATACACAAGTACTACTTACACTGATAGTATGTATATTTTGTTTTCTTGAAAGGCACAGTTGACATTTTTTGTTTTCCTATTGTTGTAGTAGGTATAGGTGTTTGTGATGCTACCTATCAGCTCACCAGTGTGCTCTGCATTTTTTTTTTTTTGCATAGTTTTCTGGGCAGAAACATTTTGTTTTTCTTCTCCTGTAAATAGTCTTTTTCCAGGCATGGTCGTGCATGCCTGTAATATCAGGACTTGGGAGGCTGAGGCAGGAGGATTGTCATGAGTTTGAGGCCAATCTGAACTACACAGTGAGACCCTGCCTCAAATAAATAAATAAATAATCTCTTATGAGCTCCAGTTCCAATCCTCTAGCAAGATTTCTCCATGATATTTTGCACTTGTTATTTTCTTTGTAAACTATCAAACTATGCCACACATGTTTAGGATCAAGGTAAATTGAACCATTTGCCAATGCTTTATGTTTCAGGTGACATCATATTTGCTGCATAACTCATCAACAACATCCACTTCACTTTCAGTTTGGTTGTTAAAAGTTTCCATCTCAAGCTTCCATTGTATTAAGGTTTCCCTATCAGTATTTCCATCATGGTGAAATGTTGACATCAGCAGTACCTGTTTGCTTTCCTTCACCATATACCAGGCCAATGTTGTACCTTTCTGAAATCCAAAAATCATATTTTGTTCTATATTTTGAAATCAGAATATTTCATTTGGAATTTCTTCTTTGTTCTTGTATACATTTCAGGCACTGGTCAACTGCTTTGTTAGCAAATGTAACATCAATTGAAAACCAGTAAACCAACTGTCAAATGTCACATTCTGATTAGCTTGGGAGATGGGAGCAACAAGTCTGTTTACAACATCATTCAGTTTATTACTGTATAAATAAGGACCTGATGGCTGAGTTCCACGATAAATCTCTAAATTGGAAGTATAATAAATCTTCTCATCTACAAAGGCATAAATTTTTATGCTGTATTTTGACCCTTCACTCTTCCATAAATCTTTTACATTCCTACAATCACCACAAAAAATCTCTGCTAAGTATAGCAGACCTATGAATGCTTTCAGTTCAGCTAGCCAGGTGTTATGGTAAATGCATTTTTAAAAATATGGCTATTGGTGCATACAGAACATTTTATGTGAATTTCAGCCGTTGTGTATTTCACAGCATCTTGTAGCATTTTGTCTGTTACAATTTCCAACACTGAATGGCAGTGCTTGCATTTTGTCTAATATGTTTCATCTCTGCCAAGACCTTTACTGTATTTTTGGTCCTAGTTTGAATATTAGACCATTATATTTGATAGCAATGGCCACTTCCCAAATTTGGACTAGTAAAATGTGTACTCACTGTTTTCTCCATCATCTGAATCATGAGGTCTGCATTCCCTGTGTCTTTACATCTACAAAGGCCAATTTTTGCTCCATTTCTTTTTTTAAATATTTTATCTTATTTTATTTTAAAGATAGTAAAATCCAACAAAACAAAACAGAACAAAGCCAATCAAAACAAAGCAGAAAAATTGATACAGAACTTCAAAGCAGGAAAACAACAATAGCTACCATAGTATATCTTGTTATCTTCACAATAGCTGTCCATTCCATCAGGTATAGCAAATAACAATAATAATAATAATAATAATAAAATCAATTAAAACAGAATATTGGCCGGGCGTGGTGGCTCACGCCTGTAATCCCAGCACTAGGGAGGCTGAGGCAGGAGGATTGTTGTGAGTTTGAGACCAACCTGGGCTACCAAGTGAGCTCAAGGCCAGCCTGAACTGCATAGCGAGACCCTGTCTCAAAAAAATAAAAAACCAGAATACTGAATAAAGCAAATTAGAATAAAGCAATTAATCAGAATGAAGCAAAAAAGTGAAAACAATATTGAATTTCAAAGGCAAGATAAAAGGAAATCCTCCTTATTTGTTCTATTGCATAGTCATTCTCTCAAGAGATGCCATGACTTGCTCCATTTCATCATCATCATAGGAACTTTGGCTCACATGGCCAATGTCAAAATCATCAGCAGCATCATCATCCACCCACACCACTCTTCTCTTATGAAATAAGATATTTTACCATAATGGATCATCTCTATCAGCCTTGCATGAAAAACATGATGATTCACTTTTGACCTCTTCCAAAACTTGTAAATCTAATTTTTCATGTGCCATTATGCTGAACTGGGCTACTTCTAAAAAAAAATCCAAAGAAAACTTTTAAAAAAATAAATCCTGGGGACAGGGATTTAGCTCAACAGCATAAATGTCTGTCTGACAAGCACAAGGTCATGAGTTTGATCCCTAGTACAAACAAACAAACAAACAAACAACAACAAAAACAAATCCTGGGCTGGGGATATAGCTTGTGCTTACCTGGCAAGTGTGAGGTCCTAAATTCCTGGTACAAAAACAAAACAAAACAAAACAAAAAAAACTAAGCCCGGTGTGGTGGCTCATGCCTATAATCCCAGAACTCGAAAGGCTGAGGCAGGAGAATCATTGAGAGTTCGAGAGCAGCCTAGGCTATAAAGTGAGCTCTAGGCCAGCCTGAACTGCACAGCAAGACCTTGTCTCAAAAAGGCAAAACAAAACAAAACAAACAAACAAAACAAAAAACTGAGGTTGATGCAGGAGAATTGCCAGGAGTTCAAGGCCAGCCTGGGATACATAGTGAGTTGAAAGCTAGCCTAAATTACATAGGGAGACCCTATCTCAAACCAAAACCTGACTGGCGCAGTCCCCCAATGAGACAGAGGATGCTCTTGTGGGTAACAGGTAACTGCCAACTTTATTGTTGCGGGTTCTGGCTTATATATCTGACTGTGGCCAATCAGGCTGCCACGAGGGCTGCCACGAGGAGGAAGGGCTGGAATGAGACGTGGGCTCTCGCCAATATACCCAGCTGTGGTCGATCAAGGGTTGCCACAGAATCAGCACGGGGCGAATACGAAGTGAGCACAGGGTGGCTAATTTGGAGAGGGACGTAGCGCATTGCGGAAGCTGGCGTGGTCCTTAGTCCCGGGTGGGGTATGGTATGTTGAGCACCTGCGCCCAACAAAAACCAAAAAAAAAAAAAAAAAAATCTGAAGTCATGTGGATTTTTGGACCCTCTGTGATGCTCAAGCAGACATACACAAAACCAGTCAGCCTGAGCATATAAGTGGGCTCAAATCCCGTTTTGATAGTTTTGCACATATGCACACTCCTTGGCATTTGTCATACTAAGTGAGTAACCACATAGATTGCTTCTTGTATCCCTCAGGGAAGGACACTGAGATACACAGCCAGATACTATAACACTAAAGTACAAATTTACAGTAGAAAAGTAAGAGATGGGTCCATGGACCCAGGTTTGTGCCTTGTGGGTTGATTTTTTTTTTTTTTGAAACAGTGTCTTGCTACGTAATTTAGGCTGGCCTTGAACTTACTATGCAGCCCACATTGATCTTGAATTCGTGGCAATCCTCCTGTTTCAGCCTCCTGAATGCTAGGATTACAGGCATGCGCCACCATACCTGGCAACCCACAAGTGTATGCATGTATGTATGTATGAATGCATGTATTTATTCACTGTCTTTTTGAGACAAGGGTCTCACTATGAAGTTCAGGCTGCCCTTGAACTCACTTTGTAGCCCAGGCTGGTCTCAAATTCGCAAAGATCTTCCTGTCTCAGCCTCCTGAGTGCTGGGATTACAGGCATGTGCCACCACACCTGGCTCCCACAAGGGTTTTAAAATCAAGACCAGCTGCCATTCTCTTTGGAAGATTTTATCTTTAAAAATAACAAAACTTTACAATTACATTAAGTTTAAAACTTAACTTACATTAACAATAGATGCCAGTTTTACTGTAACAAATATGATTAGCTGGACATTGTGTCATATTCCTGTAACCCCAGGAAGACCTGGGTGACTGAAGTGTGAAGATCCCCATGCGTTTAAGGCCAGCTTGGATGACATACTGAGTTCAAGGCCAGTTTGAACTTCATAGTGAGTCCCTGTCAAAAAAATGTACAATTACTATATGTAATAATTAAGAGCATGAGCTTCAGGGCAACATTTTAGTATATATGCTGCTGAAGTGAGTGTATGCTTTAGAACAAGATATCTACAGTTCAAATTCTAACTATAATATTGGGCAAACTATTTAAGCCTTGGTTTCCTCATTTTAAATGTAATCATTGTTTACAGAGTTGATTGCAAGGATTACATCAATTATTATGATAGACAGGTAAGTTAGGGAAAAGATAGCAAGCAGCTAGAGAGATGCTGCACCAAGGCAGAGTCAGGATAGTCAGGCCTTGGTCAGATAAGCAGGAGCCTAAGGTCAAGAGCTAACAAGAACCAAGTGGACAATTGAGTCCAGGATGTAACAAACAAAATAATGGATGAGTACTATGGCAAGCAACTTCTGCTTTTATCTATTAGGAAAAAGTTTTTTTCTTCTCACTTTTAATGAATCACTTGAACCACTTGAATGGCCAAGAGGCACCTGCAGACCTTACTACATACCTATACTCCCTATAGACACATAGTTTGACTCAAAGTAGTCTGGGACCCGGGCAACGTTTTGGTACAAATCTCTTAGCCATATGTGGTGGTACTTGCTTGGGATCCCAGCGTTCAGGAGGCTGAGACAGGAAGATTGCTGCAAATTTGAGGCTAGCCTGGGCTACATAGTGAGCTCAAAGTTGGCCAGAATTACATATAACAAGACCTTGTCTAAAACAAAGCAAAACACAAAACAAAACCTCCTAGACATAGTGGCCTCGTGGCAGCCCACTGTCAGGTCCCCTGCTGACTATTGGGAACTATTTCTCTCTTTTTGATAATCATCCCTCCTGTCCACCTCCTTTGTCCTCACATTCATTCTTCAACTTCAGGAGACAGGAACTCAGATTTTTGCCACTGCATTACCACATATAAAGCATCTTGAACAGTGTCTAGCATATAATAAGCAGTATACAATATATATTGGGAAGTATCACACTAGAAAGCCTTTGCTTTCAAAAAGAAGACATTTTAAACAACTTATAATCTTAAGGTTTGTATTTATGCTCGCTAATAAAAACATAAAAGATTAAAAATCACAAATTTGAGGAAGTCAGCCTACCTTCCAAAGGTATTGTAATTTTATTTTTTGACACTAGAGATTCATCTCATTATTCTTTATTTCAAGACAGGATTTCCCTAAATTGTTAAGTTGCCTTGGCTGGGTCTGAACTCATGATCCTCCTGCCAAAGGTCTTTTAGTTTTGCTTGTCATTAGTCATGTCTATGTTCTTTGAAATAATTAGAAACTCGACAGAGTTCATTTCTTTTTTTTTATTTTTTTATTTTTTAAATTTTATTTAAGGAGAAAAAGGGTACAAAAAGCAGACAATGGGTACAAGTTATACAGATTTACAGAAAAAAATAAACAGTAGGAAATCACTAGTTAATGGATTACATATTGTCATCTTAGAAATAATTGTTCAAGTCACAAAGTTAAAGCTTGTAAAGTGGACATTCCAACAGTGAGACTGCAAACAGTTCTGTTCAATGATCCAATAAAACTCAGTGATATCATTTTCTATCCTATACACTTAAACATACATGCAGTTATATCATTTAGAGCACTTTCTTTTCCTCTCTTTTGTACAATGACAATTACACATTTTGGGTTTTGTTACTCCCACAGTTCTTATTACTTTTTTGGAAGGGAGTAGAAGCAAATGTGACATAACAGAACAGAGTCAATCAAATCAAAAGGGTGGACATAATAGATAATGTAAAAGCATAATACAAGGTGATCAATAATGGTTACCATAATGCCTCCTGCTATCTCTAATAGAATTGCCTATATCATCAGTTATAATAAAATTGAACAAAACAGTAAAGAACAAAACCGACAAAACCAAAACATTGGAGACATTGTAGGTCATCAAAAGTAGATAAAAGTCATCGAGAATGGGCGTCATAATGAATCTCACTATCTTCATAGCTGTTGCCTAAACTTTCAAACCTGGTACTATCAAGCAAAGCAGAATAGGGGGACATCAGTCAAAAACAAGATGGTGAGAGTAATACAGGGCTTTAAATCAAGATAATGGAAAGTCAAAGTGGGTTGCTATAATATATCCTGCTATTTTTATTTATTTTTCCCTTAATTAAAAGGATAAAAATAAAAAAGTAAATAATGGAGTGGAGATTGAGATAAAAGAGGGCATAACAGCAAATCAGCGCAGATCAAAACGTAACCATTTAAGCAGAATAGTGTTTCACCACAAGATAATCCTGACATAAAAGTAGTTACCATATTGTCTCTTTCCTTGAAATCCTTGAGTACAACTTCGTATATTGTAGCATTAAATACATCAAAACAATGTAAAACCATTTAAGAGAATGACAGCATTACAGGGTATTTAGAATCAACTAACAGAAAATGAACAATGGTTTCTGTATAATCTCCTTGTCTTTAAAAGGTTTTTGCTTATACTATCGTACATAATAAAATGCAATAAGATACAACCTGTTTAGACCAATGGAGACAGAAGAACAAAAGTTTGATGAGACTTCAAAACAAGATGATACTAAATCAGTATTACCTATTAAGACGTCATTTTCTCCAAAATAGCTGTTCCTATCATCCAATCTTCTCTGCCTCATTTCTGTTGAGCTCTTTTCCTGTCATTAGTTGTCAGTTTGTCTTCTTCATTTTATTCTCTGCTCCATTCATTGTGGCCTCCCCGCCACTATTTCTGGATTCTTTGTATTTTTCTTTTTTAGAATATCCTGCAATACTCTCTGTAGAGTTGAATTCGTGGTTGCAAGACAGAGTTCATTTCTGTGAGAAGAGCTCCCCAGTATTCCCCTCCAACTGTTGCTTTCCCAGCCTATCCCTCCAACTAGACTCCACCTCAGGGTTAGGGTGGCAACTATGCTGGTTTTCCTGTCCATGTTCTAGCAATGGGATTTTGGCACTAGAAAAATCCTCAGGTCCTGGTGTGAAAATGGTTGCCATTGGCTGGCCTACATGTGGACTGTGAACTATAGATGCATATATATTAAAATCTTGGGAGTGGCCTGGGGAATAGCCATTTCTCTGGGCTGCTGTCCTCCATTTTGGAACACTCTTCCTGTCATTTCCTAAGGATATTTTTTTTTTTTGTCTTTTTGAGACAGGGTCTCACTATGCAGTTCAGGCTGGCCTTGAGCTCACTTTGTAGCCCAGGCTTGTCTCAAACTCACAACAATCCTCCTGCCTCAGCTTCCCAAATTCTGGGATTACAGGTGTGAGCCACCCTGCCCGCCTCTTCAGGATATTTTTAAGTTTTCTGAAAATCAAGTTCCAGACTCTCCTGGAAGGCAGTTTAAGTATAAATTGGCTTGGGATTAGTGACTAGAATAGGAGCCTAAGGGTAGAACGTGATGTGGACAAGAAGTTCAATTTAGAAATCTTTTGAGTTTAATCTGAGAAAATTGTGAAAGGACCTAGAATACAGACAGGACCTATTACACTGTGAGCACTCCAGCACGGTAGTGGTAGCTGAGTCCCCTAAATGACATTTAAAGATATTTCCGTTTGGTCCTTCCCTTTCTGTTTTCCCCCTTCAATCAGTTGGAGCCCTGTATGATTATTGCCTCAGGGGAAAATGTGGCAGAAAGAGTAGAGTTGGTGACCACATAATGCCTGCCAAATGTTTTGTTTTGTTGGCAAGGTATTCAATGGCAGGACTATGGCATCTTAGTAATAAAGGAGGAGGAGCTGCCAGGCTTACTAGTGCACACCTATAATCCCAGCACTTGGGAGGCTGAGGCAGGAGGACTGCTGTGAGTTTAGTAGTAGCTTGGGCCACATAGTGAAGTTCAACCTGAACTTCATAGTAAGAATCTATCTCAAAAATGAACAAAAGAAAACAAAAAATAATACATATATATGCTATGGTTTGGATATGGCCCATGTGTTAAAGCTTGGATCCAACACAGTGCTACTGGGAGGTAGTGAGACTTAGAAGTTGAGGACTTAGAAGAGGGTTAGGCCCAGAAAGGAATTACAGGATGGTAGTATTTCAGTATTTCAAGTCTCTCTCTCTCTCTCTTTCTCTCTCTCCTCTCTTTCTTTGTTTCTCTCTCTCTGTGAGATTTGTATCCTGTCTCATGATTGTGAATAGTTTGCTCCTATCATGATATGGATCTCTTTCCACAGGCCTAAAGAAATGGGAAACTGAGCCAGGTATGGTGGTGCATGCCTGTAATCCCAGTATTTGGGAAGCTGAGGCAGGAGGATCACCACAAATTTGAGGCCAGCCTGGGCTACATATTAAGGACAACCTGAACTACATCAAGAGACCCTCAAAAAGATTAAATTAAAACAAAGAACAAGAGACACTTGTCATATAGAATTGTGATCCTAAATCTTTTCTCTTTATAACTTAATTGCCTCAGCTATTTTCATAGCGATGGAAAGCTAATACATATTGAAAAACAGGGAAAAATAGCAAAAACACAGAAAATAAGAATAAGTAAACCAGGCATGGTGGTGTGTGCTTATAATCCCAGCACTCTGGGAGATTGAAGCTAGAGAACTCTAAACTCAAGTTCAGCCTGGGTGACTTAATGAGACCCTGTCTCAAAAAAATAAAAAAAGGTTAGGGATGTAGTTCAGTACAAAGGCCCTTGGTTCAATCCCCAGTACTGCCCCAACACACACACACACACACACACACACACACACACACACACACACACAGACACAGAGAGAGAGAGGGAGGGAAGGAGGGAGGGAGAGAGAGAGACAGAGAGAGAGACATGAATAAGCACTGTGCCCATTGTTCAAAATTAACAAATGTTAAGATTTTGTAACTTTTGTTCTCTGTCCGACCGTTTTCGGTCACCATCATGGACACGAGTCGTGTGCAGCCCATCAAGCTGGCCAGGGTCACCAAAGCACTGGGCAGGACCGGCTCACAGGGACAGTGCACGTAGGTGCTCGTGGAGTTCTTGGACAACACGAGCCGCTCCATCATCCGCAACGTGAACGGGCTGGTGCACGAGGGCGACATGCCGACCAGGGGTGAATTGCGACTCCTAAAATAAAACGTTTGTATTGTGTGTAAAAAAAAAAAAAAAAAAAAAAAGATTTTGTAACTTTTGCTTCAGGTAAACTTTTTTTTTTTTTTTTTGTCTTTTTTGAGACAGGGTCTGCAGTTCAGGCTGGCCTTGAGCTCACATTGTAGCCCAGGCTGGTCTCGAATTCGCAAAGATCCTCCAGCCTCAGCCTCCCGAGTGCTGGGATTACAGGCATGAGCCACCACGCCTGGCTCACTTCATGTAAACTCTTATAAAAACAGGACTCATAGATATGTTGAAACTTCCTTTCCCTAATTTATTCACTTTCTATTCTCCTCAGAGGCTAGATGTGGTGGCTCATGCCTATAATCCTAGTATTTAGGAGACTGGGGCAGAAGGATTATCATGAGTTTGAGGCCAACCTAGGCTACACAGTGAGTTTAAGGCCAGCCTAAACTACATAGCAAGAACCTGTCTCAAAAAATCAGAATAATAATGATAATAATCTCCTCAGATATGTGTATGGTATTATCATAAATCTAGTATTTATACAATCCACATTTTTGTTTCTTTTTTCCCATACTGGGGATCAAACTCACAACCGCCTGCTTGTAAGGCAGGTACTTATGCCGCTGAGCTAAATCCCTAGCCCCCAGTCCACATTTTAAAAACCTTTGCTGAACCTAGAATAGCCAACCAACCAAAGAAGGAGAACAACAAAGTTGGAAGATTGACACTGCCTGACTTCAATATTTACAATAAAGCAATACTAACCAACACAATGTAGTATTAGCAAAAGAAGAGACAAATGGAACAGAACAGAGAGCCCTAAAGCAGACCCACAAAAATATACACAATTGATGGAGCTCCATGGTAGAGCACTTGCTTAGTATGCATGAAGTCCTTGCTTTAATCATCACAAATGAAACTTTTAAAAAAATGCAATGTATCACAGATAGTGTCTTCACCACATGTCTGGAACAACAGGACATCCATAAGCAAAAAAAAAATTTTTCTACCCACAGAACTTATATTCGAAAAATTAACTCAAAACTAAGCCAGGTGTGTTGGCACATACCTGTAATCAGCAGGTGAGTCAAAATTTTGTGCCTAGCTTGGGCAGTTTACTGACTTAGTGAGATCTGTCTCAAGATAAACATTTTTAAAAAATTTTTTTAAAGGAGTGTGGATGTAGCTCAGTGCAAAGGCCCTGAGTTCAATCTCCAATACTAAAAATAACATAACTGATTACATACCGAAATGTAAAACTATAAAGCTCCTAGAAGATAACATAGGGAGAAAATTTAGATAAAGTTGCATTTTATGACGAAAAAAATTTTTTTGAGACAGGGTCTTGCCACACTGCAGGCTGGTTTTGAAACTTGTTGCAATCCTCCTATCTCAATCTCCCAAGTACTGGGGTCACAGATGTGTGCCACCACGCTCAGCTTTATATTTTCAAACGTTGACAAAACCACAGACATCACAGAATCATAAAAATAACTTTATCAACTGGTCTGTAACCACTACGAGTTTTTTTCCAACTCTGAATTTTTAAGTTGCATACTCTTTGCCTCTTCAGATGACTATTTGACACTATTTTGGATGATATTAGAAAGATAAATTAGTAAAAACTATCAAAAAAATTATTGACAATTCCCAGGCACAGTGGCTCGTGCCTGTAATCTCAGTTATTTAAGAAGCTAAAGCAGGAGGAGCCAAGGAGTTAGGGTCAGCCTGGGGAATCGAAGGAGATCCCTATGTCTTAAAAATAAAATAAAATAAATAGCATTGGTCGTTTAGAAGTTCGCAACTCCTTACTATAAATTCTCACACAGGTGGTGCTTTTTGAAAGGAACAAGCTCACAAGCCCTCTCGCGTTCTGTAGATTGGTGACCCTTTAAAGTGCTCTGAAGTTTAAAGTCCACCAGATTCATAGTACATAGGCACCTGTGAGGGAGCTTTTCCGTACGTTCGTACATCGCTTTCCTTCTTTAATATCGCTGAGAACTGAAGAATCTTCGGACGGGGCAGCGCTATCCCAACCCACGTCTTGGGGGCTGCATTGCTTCAGGTTTTTTGGGCGGGGCCTGCCCCTATTCACTTTCTCCACTAGAGGGACAAGTGGACCGCCATCCATCCTTACTACGTGAGAAGAAGGCAGAGCCCTATTGGCTCGACGCCGGTTGGTGGTCAGAATTTTGATCGACAAAGCTATTAGCTAATGACTCTGAAGTAAGCAACCGTTGTTTATGCACGTACAGCCAATAGAAAGGCAGAAGTACAGTCAATAACCAATGAAGACTGATTTTAAGCGTGGCACGGGGGCGGGCTTTTTCTGAGAGGGCCGATTCGGGGTGAAGAGTCTGAAACTGACCCTGGAGCAGTCAGAGCACATCCGGTATTGCAAGAGCTGGGAGGCTCCCGAGAGGCAGGTTAAGAAGGTACGTCTAAAGTGTGGAGTGGGCAAACCAAAAGTAAGAAATGGAGAGGAAGTAGTAGTTTTTGTCTCTGAAAGAGTGGGAGTAGCGTTCATTTTCGGACGGATTTTATACCCTGAGATCACCGGGCCCAGCTCTCGTCGAGAACTGGAAAAATGGGGCGGGGAGAGAAGCTACGGAACTAGTACTGCGCATGTTCAGTTGGAAGCGGGCGGGTGTGAGGGGGCTAGTATGCGTGGTCGTGGGGACGTAGCGGCAAAAATCCTGTGCCTGAACTCTAGCGGGGGCCTCTCTCTGGGCTTCCTTCCCTGCCCTCCGTCCCCAATCCGGTTTCCTCTGTCTCGCGTCCTGCTGAGTGCAGACCCTAGTCCCTGCCTCGACCGCTGGGTTTGAGGCCCGACCTGTCACCCCCCTGAGGGAAACGAAAGCAAAACCAGCTTCGGTGGTTCGGCTGTCTCGGAGGGTGCGGTCGGGACTAGGGCTGGAGTAGGGGCTTGGTCCCGCGGGCTGCCTCGTCACGGTGGCCTGGTTGATGTCATACTTTGCTCTTCTGTGACACGCTCGCTTCATTAGTTATCTGGAAGCCAGAGGCAAAGACAAGAGGTAGAAGACGGGCTCGGCCTGCTTCTCGGCCCCACAGGGCAGCCCTGCGCTGCTTTACTGGTTACCTTTGGACAGGTGAGGTGGCCTGGATTGCGTGTTCTGAATCCTGTGGGCGTCTGAAACTCTGCTTAGGAAGGGCAGTCGATGGCCGGGTTTTTTTTTTTTTTTTTTTTTTTTTTCCCTTGGGTTTGCTTGCGGGAGCTGTGATAACAAGTAGGCTTTGGTATTTCGTATATTTACTGAGTACAGAGTTGGCGATCGCGTGCCAGCCAGCTTTCAGTGCCTGTCCTATCAAATCAGCCTTCCAGTGACCGAACAACAAAAACCACTTTGAACTTGAAACTCTGCTCTAGCAATAGTTAACTTGTGACTTGTGTAACCCAGTAGAAGAGCTGACTGTGCCTGAAACACGGATGAGGATTTTAAAGTTAAAGGTTAATGGCAAATGGATTTTTCTGGTTGCTTGTTGATATTTATTTATAGTTTACTTTTTGGAATTTAGTTAAAGAAAAGTCATCTGCATTGGGTAACCACTTTTTTGTTTGAGGCAGGGTCTCACTATGTAGTGCAGACTGGCCTTGAAATCTCGTAGCCTAGACTGGCGTAAAACTCAACTGTGATCCTCTTTTCCTCAGCCTCAAGTGCTGGCATTACAGGCCAGCACCAACAGCCCTGCAAATAATCACATTTCTATGGCTTCTGCATACACACATATTGTAATTACTAGGTTTACTGTTTCTGGTGTTTCCTTGTTCCTTTTTGTCTAATGTTTTTTGTTGGTAGTGGCTTCCAAAATATGTTGCTATTTAGATTCACTGCCATTTTCCTTCAATAGTGACAGAGTAGTTGAATCCTTGACAAATGCAGTCTGTAGTTTCGATCCAGTTTCTTCGATCATTTATCTTGTGAAAACATCTTAGTATCCCCTTTTATTATCCTCCATTCCCTATTGATCTAAAGAAAAGGAAAAGAAGCTGTGCATAGCCGAGTTCTGCTTTATGATCTTCCTGTGTATTTCAAGGTGGCCTTGATTGCTAGGATTATAGGCAGGAGCCAATAATTTTTGCCAATATTTTTTTGAATAGGTAAAATTGATCTTGATTCTTAGCATCTTCAGTTCCCAACTTCATTATAGATATTTCACGCTCTTTGTAGATATGCTGAAAATACAGAACAATTTAATTATGGATTTTTGTTTAAAGATTTCTTTTGATTTGTGGCTAGAACTGCCTTAATTAAAGTATACTGTCTTCTCCGATGATGGAATTTGAACCTAGGACTGCCACATACTAGGCAAGTGCTCTAACACTGTGCCATATCCTCCATCCAAATTATTTATGAATTTTTTGGTTTTTTGAGACAGTCTTGCTAAATTGTGCAGACTGGCCTTGAACTCTTGATCTTCCTGCCTCAGCCTGTAAGTAGTTGGGATTATATTGCTGTGCAACACTGAGTCTCAGTCCTTTGCCATTTTAAGCTTTTTTTTTTTTTTTTTTTGTCTTTTTCCTTTTTATCGGTACCGGGGATTGAACTCACTACTGCCTGCTTGCAAGGCAGGCGCTTATGCCGCTGAGCTAAATCCCCAGCCCCTATTTTAAGCTTTTTAAACAATTGGTAATATAGGACTAATCATTCTTATTTTCCCCTCATGAATTGAATGTGTAAATACCAAAGGAAATAATGTGTATAAAAAGCATTTTTAAAATTATAAGACTTTGTGTAGATGTGGTCAGTGGTGTTAATATAGAAGTCACTATTGCTGGCCTGAAGAATTTCATTTTATTTCGTAAACTACCCAATGGTATTAATATCATCTGGGGAAATCACTGCATCTTAGGAACACATAAAATGAGACTGAACACTGTCTCATAAATTTTCCTTTGCTACTTTGACTTGGCTGTAGAATCTAGTGTAAGTATCTTCCACTTCACCCAGTTTTGTTTCTCCAGAGTTTCTACTAAGACTTCATGGGTTCTTTGTTATATAAATGTTTCAGAGATAGTGCTTAACCAAATAGAGTAGAGAAAGGCTATAGGAATTGGGTTGACTTCTTCAGGGCCACTTGAGTAACCCCCAAAAGGTAGCTGCCACCCTGAACCAGTTGAAAAATGTTGAATGGGAGGTTGCTGTACTCTTCATTTGATAATGGGTATAGATTGGCTCTGGACATTGTTGTGATTAAATCTGGTGCATAGGCAGAGTGAGTCAGGTGCAAGCTCTACTCACAATATGAAGTCCCTGCACAATCAACTAGAGTCCATAAAATCTGGGGGAAAAAAGCAAAAGAATTTGTAGGGAAAGGGTGAAGTGCATGTGCTGTTGGTCCTAACTTAACACTTGCTCTTACTTGGGCTAAATATAGTGTTATTGGGGAAGAATTACTGGTTTATATAGAAGAAGATTAAGTACTTAGGGCATTGGGAGCCTTTTTAATGATTAAGTTCTGTCAAACAGTTATGAAGATTTAGGTCGAACTTAAGGGAGAGGCTAGAACATTTTAGGGTCTTGATCTGGGACAATTAAAGCCTAGCCCTAGTTGAAATGGATTCCTTGGATTGTCCTAAACTGAGCTGACCTATCTCTTCTGAGTGGCAGGAAAAGTGTCAAGCTAATCTCCATTTACTTCATCAAAGTCTCCAACACATACCATTATCACTCAGTGTTTATTAGGCTGTGTCACAACACCTTGAAGCCCTGTGGGACAGAAGCAACAGTGCAAAGGTACCAGAGAAGTATGCCATTTAAACAATAGTTTTCACCGTAATAAGATTTATCAGGTCCTTTATATTTCAGCTTATATGCATCTTAGACCACTCTCAATGTAACTTTACTCTCATTTAGGAAAATATTAAACCTTTATAGTACAGGTAGTTGCAGGTAGCAGTGAGTTATGGTAAAGTTTTTTGTCTTTTTCCTTTTTATCGGTACCAGGGATCGAACTCACAACTGCCTGCTTGCAAGGCAGGCGCTTATGCCGCTGAGCTAAGTCCCCAGCCCCTTGTCTTTTGTTTTTAATTCAGCCAGGTCTCGAACTCACTATGTAGCCTAGGCTGGTCTCGGAACCTGTGGTAATCCTCCTTCCTCAGCCTCCTCGGGGCTGGAATTATAGAGATGTGCCACCATGCCCGGCCAATAATTTTAAAAAATTAGTTTCCATAACATGTAGATCAGGCTTAGGTTAAATGTCTTCTAAAACTAGGCTTTATTTTTTTATTATTATTTAGGGGGGATAATCTTGAGCCAGAGTCTTGCTATATAGTTCAGGCTGGGTTTGAATTATACTACCATTATGTAGTCCAGGCTTGCCTCTTGGAAGTCCTGCCTCAGCTGGGATTTTAGTCATGTGCCACCATGCCCAGCCTAATTAATTTTAAAAGCTAGACTTTTTTGGTTGAAATGTACTCTTGTGCTATATGAAAAGCCCTATTCTAAGCAGTTTATTATTTTACCTAATCCTCATCCCTATGAAGTAAATATATTATGGTATTTTATAAATGGTCAAACTGAAATACAATGTGTTTATTGCCAGAAGCTTGCTTTATGTCATCCAATGAAGGAAATAACAGCCAGGATTTAAAAAGTAGGAAAACAAGCCAGGCATGGTGGTGCTTGCCTGTAATCCCAACACTTGGCAAGCCGAGGCAGGAGGATCACCATGAATTCAAGGCCGACCTGCACTACACAGGGAGACCCTGCCTAAAAAAAAAAGAAAAAAAAAAAAGGAAATCAGGAGGCAATGTTATGTTCATTTTGGGGTTAGACATTGAAACCAGAGCCTCATGTATGGACTCCAGCCCCAAGTGATGCTGTTAACCACACTATATTAGGGACAAAGGTTATACAGAGTCTGAAAACTGAAGTGTAAGAGCTACTGAAAAATGACAGTCACACCCCCTTCAAAAGCCATTTAGGATTTTTCTTCTAAGTGACAATTTGGTATCTGCTGAATATATGGGGACAGGGTTGAATTAATACTGCAAGAGGAGAAAAATCTAATCTCATAGTCTAATATTGAAAAGTGAACCTATTTTCTTTGATTTGCTGGCAGTATTAAGTCATGTACATTGAGGCAGCTTCTATCCTGGCCTCAGCATTCGGCCATCTGGCTGGCTACCTGGCTGGCTGCTTCGTGGCTTCCTTCCTTCCCTCTTCTAACTTGCTCTCCCCTCTCCTCTTTATTTTGTGCTTGGAGTTGAACCCAAGTCCTTATGCATAGTAAGCAAATGCTCTACCACTGAGTTATATCTCCAGCCCTCAGCAAATTATTTTTCAAAGCCAAGAACTACTTAAAATGAATATTGAATGGGGCTGGGGATTTAGCTCAGCGGCATAAGCACCTGCCTTGCAAGCATGCGGTTCCGAGTTCAATCCCCAGTACCGATAAAAAATTAAAAAAGAAAAGAATATTGAATATATGATAGTTTCTGTTTTACAGACATTTGGCAACTGCAGTTTCATCTCCACTTTATTTACTGTGTGTATTGGAAGAGTATTCTAGGGTTTTAGGGATTGACCTTTGATAATTTTTATTTTTAGGGCAAAGGTAAGGAAGATACACCTGGAACAAAAGCAGAAAGGATTAGGTAACCTTGTATCCTTCAAGATTCTTCTGCTGTACTTCCTTCCCCAGACCAAAACAGGCTGCACATAAAGTGGCCGTGATGACACAAACCTGTAATACCAGTACTCAGGAAGCAGGAGGGGCTACATGGCAAGACACTGTCTCAAAAAAAGAGAAAAAAAAAAGTATCTGAAATCTCTTTAACTCAATGTGCAGTGTGTTTACCTAGTTTTCTTTCTTGATAAAGCTATGCAGTAAGCCCTGAGCTTTTTGTTTTGTAATTTTGAATCAGTTCCCCTGGTAGATGAGGCTGGCCCTGGGAACCACAGAAGAAAATTTTGACAGAGTCTAAGACAATTTAGGGTTCCTGCTCTAAAAGAATGAGAGCATAAAATGAGGCCCTGAATCAAATTAAAGAAATTTTGTTATCTGTAAGGCCTGAACATTTGTTTCATGTTTCCACTTGCAGCATAGGCAAATTTCCTGTGACTCTTAAGAGGCACTGTCCATGTTGTATTTTATGTAAATAATCCCCTCTCCCTGTTTTAAAGCTGAGTATTTATAGAACTGGGTAGTAGGAGAGGATCCAATATCTAGATTTCTGTAGAATTTGTGGTTTAGGGTGAGATAGACCAAAATTGTTAATGATTTTGTCATAGGTTTACATGTATATTAGAATCACTATGTTGAATTTTTTAGCAAATTGTACTTTTTTTTTTAAAAAAAACAAGCATGATGTAATATAATTTTAAAATGCTTTTTTTTTGTATAAGTATGTGTCACCATGCCAAATTTATACGTTAACTGTGGGGTCCTCCTTTTATGATAGCTGAGTTAAACTGTCCAATAGTTTTAAATACTTGAAGTTTTGTTAAGAGCCAGCTGTTGTTGGAACTGAAAATACTTTGGTATGAGAGCTGCTATTTTTGAGTTATGAGTGCAATTTAATCTTGTTCCAACTGAGTTTGCAATATTGGCCTTTAAAAATATAGCTATCCCTTGCTTAGTTTCTGAGCATGACCAATTGAGGCCAAGATAGAAACCTGGTAAATTCATTCTATTTGATAAAACTTGCGTAAACATTTTGTCTTGCTGCCCTTTTATCAATTTAGTTATTGTTTATTTGGAACAATCCCAGACCAAACTATCATAATTTATAATTTCTTGATTCCAAAACCTGCCATTTTCCCCTCAGTTTTTAAAGTTTCTAAAATAAATTGGCATATACATTGTTATATGTGTTAAATGTATACTTTCTTACATTTCTTTTTCTTTTTTTTTTTTTTTTTCCCATAACTATTAAAACTGGGCTAGGTATGTGGCTCAGCAGCACAGCCCCTGCCTGGCAGGCATGCACGAGGTTGTGAGTTCAATTCCAAGTACCAAACAAAAACCTAAATTACTAAAATTGCTGTGTACTTTTACATCTGTAAAATTTGATAATTATACATAGCACTTAAATTTTAGAAAAGGTAGTAATATTTTAAAATGGACTTTTCAAAGTGCCAGGAATATAGCTCAATGGCACAGGACCTGCTTGGCAAGTGCAAGGTCCTGACTTTGAGTCCCAGTACCCCCCCCAAAAAAAAAGCCAAAAAAAAAACTGAGTGAGACAAGAGATTTGCTGTGAGTTCAGGGGCAGCTTGGGCTACATAGCAAGGCTCTCTCCTTAAGAGAGCCTGAACCATAGTGAGACACTATTTCAAAAGCAATGACAACAAAAAAAACTCTCATAAGCTAGTACTAAATCAAGGTGAAATTACTATTTGACATCTCCCTGCCTAGGCATCCAGGCTTCAGTGGTTTTTGTTTTGCCATCAACCATTGTAAGAGAATCCACAATGAATATAATCATCATGTCCAAGTATGCTAATAAAAAGCTAATACATTTTTAAAGAAAGGGTCCAGAGGCCAGCTGGGCTGGTGCATATCTGTAGTCCCAGCACTCAGGAAGACAAGGCAAGAGGATCACTATGAGTTCTAAGCTAGCCTGGGGTACATTGTGAGTTCAAGTCCAGCCTCAACTACGTAATGAGACCATGTGTCAGAAGAAAAGAATAAGAGTCCCATAAAGTGACAATACCCCTAGGAAATGTCAAAGGCAAACTGAGAATGAGTAGCTTCCGCCACTGGCATCTGGTTTCCACTGGGGTCTGGTTACATGAGTATTGCCCCTTTCTGACTAATGGTCCTCTGGGTATTTGAGGTGCTCTCTCACTTTGATTCTCGAAATTAGAAGCAATAGATACATCTCTGTAGCTGTTGTGAATACTAAAAGGTTGTCTTTGCAGGTTACTTCAGTATTGTTGCAGCTTGTGTCTAGGGATGTCATTAGGGATGTTAATGGATGCCTTAAACAAAGACACTTTCCAGGTCCTAAATTCTGCCATCCTGTAAGTGTTCTCTCTAGAGGGTGCATTCATCATGGGTTTGGAAGGTTGTACTTGACCTTGCAACAGCCTGCAATAATTGCACCATCTAGATCAAGAGAGCCCAGAGTTAGGTGACTTAGACAGAGCAGCATTGGTAGTAGGTTCTTCAGCGTTTTGACTGTATTCATCCTTAGGAACAGAAATAACAACAGAATTAAGGTGAGTAGTATAGTAGTGAGACAAAGTAGGTGGGAGAAATCCAGCTAGCCACTGTGATTGTTTCATTGTGGGCGAAGAGACCCAAGGAACCAATGGTAGTGATGCTTATGAGTTCTAGGAGTGGTCTCTTTACTGTAGTCCAAGATTCCTCAGGAAACTGATTACAAAATTGTGTAATTCATTGCTTAGATTAATTGTGGTGCGTAAGCATTGGGCCTGTGCTAATTTGAATGGGCATTAATAGTTGGCATTTCAAACAGTTTATCCTTTTGGTTGTTTTGTGTGATGGTGTTTTGTTTTTGGTTTTTTGAGACAGGGTTTCACTGTGCAGTTTTGGTAGGCGACATTGAACTTTTTGCTGTGTAGTTCAGGCTGACCTTGAATTTATGGTAATCCTCCTGCCTCAGCCTCAAATGCTAGGATTACTGGCATGCACCACTGTGCCCAGCCAGTGTTTGAATAGGATTGTGTTTGAATCCTATTCTTACCCTTCCTCTCTATTTATTAGATTCGAAATAAATGGACAATATGAGTCTAATAATAATTTGGGGATTCATATTTAGGAAAAACAACGACTCTTGATCAGACTTTTAGTTCTATTGATTGTATTTATTTAGGATTGATTGCATGCAAGGTGGGAGAGGGAGCAAAGTTTAAAAGCATGACTTTATGATATTGATGTAGTGTAACTGAGGTATGGTTCACTTTTAACATGCCCTTCCTGGCCCCCAGCAGCATGGCACCTGCCTGGCAATTGTGAGGTCCTGAATTCAATTACTTTACCCAAAAAGTAAAAAAACTAAAGTGAAATAAAATGCACTTCCCAACACATGCCTATAATCTTAGCACTTGGGAGGCCAGTGTGGACTGCGTAGTAAACTCAAAGCCTGAATACACAGTCAGATCCTGTCTTAAAAAAAAAAAAAAGTTGCCCTTCCTAGCCGGGCATATATGCGTGCTAACACTCGAGGCAAGACGATTACCATAAAACCAAGGCCAGCCTGAATTACAGAGTACATTTAGGATATTTTGGTGAAGAATATAAAAGTAATCTTGAACTGTTCCACTCCTTCTGTTAAGAAAGCCTCCAAAATTAGAAAAATCCTTCTTGCCTAAATTTATTTTCATAGAGATATAGAAATTTTCTTCCTTTTAAAATTCCTTTCATTTCTAAAATGTAGTAACTAGAAAATTCCTACATACACACATTTAAAATGCCAGTCCTAGTGCAGCTTTATTTATTTTTAATTCTTGAGGGAATTCTCTAGCATTTTAAACCAGTCATATAAAAGTGCTTTATGAGTCCCTTTAACTAGATTGCTAATTTCGGATTTTTCTTTCTTTCAAAGGGCAAATTATTTTCTTAAAAAAATGGAGTTGGGGGGGCTAGGGATTTAGCTCAGCGGCATAAGCACCTTCCTTGCAAGCGCACGATCGTGAGTTTGATCCCTGGTACTGATAAAAAAAAAAATTGAGTGGAAATAAGATGAGTTTTTTTCCCTTTGTCATCTTTAAAATAGTTCACAATGATTGTAAATGTATTCTAGGACACACTTAAGATTGAAAATGATTGTTAGGGCTGTGGGACTTTGGATAACTTTTTTTTCCCCCAAACTTGAACATTGCTGTTTTTTTTTTTTAAAAGAAAGCTGGTTTCCTATGTTATAGTAGCTTTGTAATCACTTTTCTTTGTTCTTTATTCTGTAGAGCAGAAGCTTTGTCCCACAGACTGGAACCATGAACATATTTGATCGGAAGATCAACTTTGATGCACTTCTAAAATTTTCCCACATGTAAGTGTTTTAAATTTTATTGGTTCTTGACTGTATTTTCTGTCATTTTTGGTTTCTTTTTGTAGTTTATTAGTTTGCGTATGTATAAATCAACAAATGAACCTGTCTAGACTCTAGAAGACCTGAAAAAAATTTCCAAATTTGCTGGGGATATAGCTCAGTGTCCTAAGCACCTACCTGGCAAACATAAGGTCCTTAGTTCGATTCTCGGTACCAAGAAAGAATCCAGATTCTAAGGGCTGCTTTATAACCACCAAAAAGTTATTTATTTATTTATTTATTTTTGTCTTTTTTTAAGGCAAGGTCTCGCTATGCAGTTCAGGCTGGCCTTGACCAGCCTTTGTAGCCCAGGCTGGTCTCGAACTCCCAACGATCTTCCCATCTCAGTTTCCCGACTGCTGGGATTACAGGCGTGAGCCACCACGCCTGGCTTATTCTTTTTCTTTTTAGGTACTAATTGTTCATAAATTTGGACTTTGGCCCTTTCCTAGCATTTAAGATTCTCAAACTATTTTCAAAACATTCTTTTTATTATTATAATATACTCCTTAACATATCTCAGAATTATTTGTAATATAACTTTCACATATTCCCTCTAGGAAAGAGGAATAATTCTTAGGTTAGAGATGAGATTGCTTTAGGAGTGATGGATGTTATAAATATTGTTTCCTAGAACCCCATCGACACAGCAGCATCTGAAGAAAGTCTATGCCAGTTTTGCTCTGTGTATGTTTCTGGCAGCTGCAGGAGCCTATGTCCATGTGGTCACTCATTTTATTCAGGTAAGAATAAGTTTCTCTCTGGTTGCTGTGTTGCCTAGTACAAACTTCATCAAGAAGAAACCAGCCCAGTAAGATGGGTGGTCCAATCTTTCAGTTGCTTAATTCTTATCAGTAGTTGGATATCTGAACTCAGCCAGTTATTAAATCAGAACATGGAAAGCCATTTATATTTTCTAGCAGCTGTGCCTCTTTAGGTATAGAAAGTACAGTGTTTTGGGTTTGTTTGTTTTTTTTTTTTCCTTTTTTCCGTTACCGGGGATCGAACTCACGACTGCCCGCTTGCAAGGCAGGTACTTACGCCGCTGAGCTAAATCTCTAGCCCCTGAAAGTACAGTGTTTTAAGCTTGCCACTAAATAGTGTACTGGTGATATACAAGACTCTAGCCCCCCCAACCCCACCCCGAAAAAAACATGATATATTTGAGTGAGGGAATTCTTCCATAGGTAGCCTTTCTCAAATTCCTCCCTTTGTTGCGTAAATGACTTGGGAGTACTTGGATACAAAACACCAATTGTATGATTATCAAAAAAGAAGAAATTGAAACTTAATTTGACCCATTTTATTCTCCAATCTATTAATTAACCTGTTTTTCTATTTTGAGGGAGGGTTTGTGTTTGACCAGCAGGAATAGAAAGCACAGTTTGAAGAATAACCACAAAATTTGGAGTTCTCAGTAAATAGGCCTTGTCTTCTTTTAAAAATGTCCTTTTTAGCATAGAGGGATGTGCTTGTATTGGCATTTGTCACTGCAAAACACTAATCCTGCTCAGGCATCTCTTGGCAAGGATTATGTGAAAAATTACTGCAGACACTCAAAGAACAGAATAGGGCTTTCTTTGTTTCGGTTTTTTTGTTTGTTTTTTGTACTAGGGATTGAACAAGCTGGTGCTGTGCTGCTAAGCTGTATCCCTGACCCTTTCTTTGATTTTTGAGTTTTTTGAGTTCTAGACAAGTTTGGTCCTTTTAGTTTCTGCTTGTGAGTTTTTTTTTTTTTTTAAGTAATGTAAAATATGTAATCTTATTCATTGTGCTATATTTGGGAACTCACCTATTTGCTAAAATTTATAACTTCAAAATCAGTACTCCTAGGATATTAGAGTGTAGTTCAGCAGCACAGCGCCTGCCTGACAAGTACAAGGCCCTGAGTTTGATTCCTTATACCAAAAAAAAAAAAAAAAAATCAATACTCCTACCATTTTTTGCAGACTGGTAAAAATTTTGATTCACCTATAATGCCATGTTCCCAGTGGAGGCCAGGAAAGAACACTGCCTCCTTGTTTCAGTTCTCATACTGTGATCAAGTGTGCCTTTCAGAGGATCACTGCCACCTATTAATGCTACTGCTGTGTGTTTCAGGTTGTTACTGTTTGGTGCTGAAGAGCAGACTGATAGCCTCACATGTGGTTCCTATTGCTGAGCTACACCTCCACTCTATTTTTGTGTCCTTTTTGGTGATTTTGCTGTTTGAAATGAGAACGGCATAGTGCTGAAGTGCTGTCCAGATTGCCATACATATTAGGGAAAAAAATACATACGTTGCTTTGTTCAGACAGTAGCTGTAGTAGATTGGCTCTGAGTTCAATAAAGTGTAAGTGCAGGTTTTTGGGAAACTAACTTTTGTATTTCCTTCAGGAGCAGTGACTCGGTATTAACCAATACATTATTCACCTTGTAAGAAAGGCAGGAGTCTGGGTGTAACTCAGCAATATAGTGCCTATCCAGAAGCATGAGGTCCTGGGTTCAATTCCTGGTACCAAAAAAGGAAGGAGAAAAAAAAAAATGCAAAAAATATACAGGAGGCCAGGATCTTTGGTATCTATATTTATTCTTTATGATTTCCTTTTTTTTTTTTTTTTGCAATGCCTCAGTTTTTCCTATGTTTATTTTAAAAATTACTATATTAGTATATGTTCACAGTATATGATTATATTCATCATGCAGAACTGGTACATTTTATCACACATCTGAATTCCTTTTTACTTTCTCTTTTCATATATTTTTCTTTTTTCTTTTTTTTTTTTTCCAGTGGAGGGGAGACAAGGTCTTGCTATATGGTCCAGACTGAGTCTTAAAGTCACTATGTAGCCCAGGCTGGCCTCAAACTCACATCAATCCTCTTGCCTCAGCCTCCCAAGTACTGGTATTATAGGCATGTACCACTACACCCAGCCCATATTTCTTTTTTAAACAGAACTTTAAAAAAAGGTGTTGTCTTTGTTTTGGTTTGGTTTTTTTGAGACTATCTCTCTGTGTGGTCCAGCTGGTATTGAACTCACTGTGTAGCTGAGGCTGTGATCTGCCTCCCTAATGGTGGGATTACAGGGATTCATCACCATGCCTGGCTGAAAAAAGAAATGTTTTTATAGTTAGGTAGCATATCTCACAACTGTACTAAGTATGCTACAGTAGGGAGAACCCGTGAGTTTAAAGCCAAATGAACTACATAATATAATACAGAGACACTGTCTCAGAAAACAAAAACAAAAAGTTTTTTTTCTTATTACAAATAAAGTAATACATCTTTATTATGGAAAATTCAGAAACAGACTACTAATAAGAAGAAAGTATTAAAAAAAAAAAAAACACTTGGGCCAGTTTGGTGGCACATGTCTATAGTCCTATCACTTGGTAGGCCGAGGCAGGAGGATTGCTGTGAGTTCAAGCCAGCCTGAACTACATGGTGAAACCTTCTCTCAAAAAACTAAAAAAAAAAAAAAAAATCAGTAGGGTCAGGGATATAGCTCAGTGGCACAATGCCTGCCTGGCAAGCATAAGGTCATAAGTTTGGTTCCTGGTACCCCCCCCCCCAAATCTTCAGTAATTGCATTACCCAGAAGTCATATCAAGTTTTTTTCCCCCCTATGTTTTATTTCTGTATATATGTGTGCTGTTTCTCTTTTTTCTCTTTCCAATATTAGGATATTGAAACCAGAGCCTTTGCATTGAGGTACATTCTGCTCATTTTGGTGTTTTTTTATTTTTATTTTTTTTTGTCTTTTTGTCTTTTTGAGACAGGGTCTTGCTGTGCAGTTCAGGCTGGCCTTGAGCTCACTTTGTAGCCTAGGCTGGTCTCCAACTCAGCAATGATCCTCCTGCCTCAGCCTCCCGAGTGCTGGGATTACAGGTGTGAGCCACCACACCCGGCTCTGATTTTTATTTTGAAACATGGTCTCACTAAGTTGCCCAGGCTGAGGTTAAATTTGTGATACTTAGGCTGGGGTGAGATCGATCCCTAATACCAAAAAAAAAAATCATGATCCTTGTGCCTCAGCCTCCCTGTTAGCTGAGATTGCTGACACACACCGTGACCAGCACTTTTTTTTCTTCCAGTGATTTCAAAGGAGTCATTTCTACTTCTGCAAGCAAAATGTTCTTCAAACACTTACCAATTTGACTCATCTTCTTAATTTGTTGAGCAGAACTCCCCGTAGTTTGACTTGAGTAGTTGTGCTGTAGTTGATGGACGACTCAAACTAGAATGGCCGTCAGTATCCACCATGGTCCTGATTCTGACCCTCAAAACTTCCAGTTTCTCTCCACACACTTGAGAAAACACCACCTGTTTCCAAGTTAGAAGCAAATACTAGGAAGTTCAAATGAATATTTGAACCTAATAAGGGCTCCTGAAAAATAAATTTGAAAATTTCAGTCATTTAATTATTGATTGGTTCTGACAGGCTGGCCTTCTGTCTGCCTTGGGCTCTCTGGCGTTGATGATTTGGCTGATGGCAACACCTCATAGCCATGAGACTGAGCAGAAAAGATTGGGACTGCTTGCTGGATTTGCTTTCCTTACAGGTATGTTAAGGTATTGATCTAATGTTGAAGGGGGCGGGAGACTATGTTTTTAGTAACTGTTTAGACAAAAGCCTGAGAATTGTTTTACTCTGATTTATGCCAGTGGGCGTACTTTCTTGTCTACCTGTTCCATTTGTACATTTCCTTCAGAAGACTTCTTTCTGATCTCTGTCTCTGTACTGTCCAGTCATACTTGTGTTTGAGTATGTTTTGCTTTGTTTATTATTATTGCTTCCCATTTCTAGGATAAGCTGTTTGTGATTTCTGTTTTGTATCCAAAATTAGGCATTTTGTGCTTGGGACTGAAGTAGGCCTGAGAATCTGCTTAGTTGGGCTCACACTGACCAATGTCTCAAGAGTATGTTCTGAGCCTTGCCACCATTGAGATCCATTGTATAGGACAATAAGCTAATTTCTCTGGGAAGGAATTAAAAGTGCAGCTCTTCTAGACTTTTCATCAAAGGAAGCAGAACTCAGGTTCAATAGAAATACTTGCAAAACAGCATTTGCATTGGTACAGCTTGTTCTAAGTGACAGTCTGTTCTTTATAGTGTTGAGAAAATTACAGAAAGGAAAGGACTTGGGGATTAAGATGTTTAGATAAGTTAGTTTTTGAAGGCATTAAAGAATGGGATTATCACCTTTAATCCCAGCACTAGGGAGGCCGGGGCAGGAGCATTGCTTTGAATTCGAGGTTAACCTGTACTGCAAAGTGAGTTGAAGACCTGAACTGTGTAATAAGACCTTGTCTCAGAAAAAAAAAAAAGAAACTATTGTAGAGTAGGAGAAACGTTGGGCCGGAGCAGGTGGCCTTCCTGTTGGCAGGAGTCCATTTGCAGAACCTGTCTGGCGAAAGGAGAATTTGGTTCATGTTATAGTTGCACATCATTCCACCTCAAAAATATTGCATAGTCCTACTTCATTTTTCCTCATTTATGTTTCTCTTGGTGTAATTCATAATTATTGGGCTAAGAGGACATTTTTGTAGATGTGACTATAAATAACTAATGGGTAAACATTCTCTTAAGGGAGAGGGAGGAAATCAATTTAGTTACTTAGATAAATATGTAAAAAAGAGAAGTTTTTTTTTTGTTTTGTCTTGTCTTTTTGGAGCCTGAGAATAATCTGTGTTATTAATGATCTTTTATACTAATACCGTGTTCTGGGGTCTTTGTTTTCTAGGAGTTGGCCTGGGCCCTGCCCTGGAGTTGTGCATTGCTGTCAATCCTAGGTAACTTTCAGTAGTAGTGTTTGCCTCTTTACCTTTATGAGTATACCTGCTAAATAAAGGCCATAATCTCAGCACTCGGAAGGCTTGTTGCAAGTTTGAGACCAGCCTGGGCTAAAAAGTGAGCTCAAGGCCAGCCTAAACTGCATAGCGAGATCCCGTCTCAAAAAGACAAAAGAAAAAGGGGTGGGGGACATGGAGGGGCTACACACCGATCTATAGTCCTCAAATGGTCTTTTCCTTTCTTTTTCTTTTTTTTGTAGTTAAAAAGCAGGATATATTTTTGCTCCCAGTTATATAATTACATTAAAATATGGGCACAAGAATTTTCTTCTTTAAGCCAGTTGTTCCACAACTGTTCTTTAATATTCATGGATTCTTTGGTTGTTAAAAATCCAGCATATAATCAAAGCAAGTTAACTGTGTACCCATCAACTATTATAGAATTGTAGAACTTCAAGACCCTCCCCTATTCCCACCCCACAAAAAAATGTAAGAAAATATTTTCTAACACCCTACAGAAGCTGCTTAACTCTTGGCAAGACATGCAAATCATAGTCACTTAAAAGGACTTTTTCTTTAATAGCATCCTTCCCACTGCTTTCATGGGCACAGCAGTAATCTTCACGTGCTTCACTCTGAGTGCTCTCTACGCCAGGCGCCGGAGCTACCTCTTCCTGGGAGGTAAGTGTAGACTGGGAACAGTGGGGTCTATTCTAGTTAGAATTCTCTTTCCTTTTCTACCTTAACTCCTTTGTGACTACTAGGTTGATACTAGAAAGCCTTCATTTTGGGAGGAATTAGGAAATGGGCATAATGAGCTTGTCTGCTTTGCTTTGGCTTTTCTCAAGACAACTTCTTGCCATGTCTTAACAGGTATCTTGATGTCAGCCATGAGCCTAATGGTCTTGTCTTCCCTTGGAAACCTTTTCTTTGGATCCATTTGGCTTTTCCAGGTGAGATTTTGCACAGACCTTTCCAGCAGCTCTTTGCCTCATACTGCTTTTTTCTCTCAATCCTAAGGTTAAGCAAGATAGATTAAGACTCCCCCAGGATGGAGGGCAGCACCTTCCAAGTCTCACCTACCCTCCCTGGCTGCAGCAGTACAGCTGAGTGTGGCACTGCTGAGAGGATGACTTGCTCAGATCCTTTGCCAGTCCAGCACTGACTTGTCAAAATAGTGGAGGGTCTTCCAGTGACTTAAAAGAATATCTTGGGGATCAGCCATAGTGGCACACACACTTGTAATCCCAGCACTTTGGAGGCTGAGGCAGGAGGATTGCTGGGAGTTGGAAGCCAATCTTTGGGCTACATAGTGAGTTCAAGGCCAGCCTGAACTACATAGTGAGACCCTGTCTCAAGAAACAAAAACAAATAAAAGGAGCGTCATGGGAATTAATGTAGTCATTTTTATTGTCCACTTGTGTACTTTCAGGTGAGCAAAAGCCAGGCAATATAACTGGGTATTTTTGTTTTGTTGTTTTCCTGTACTACAACTACTTTATGGTTACTTCATCTTGTTTTTCTATTAGGCAAACCTGTATATGGGACTGGTGGTCATGTGTGGTTTTGTCCTTTTTGATACTCAACTCATTATTGAAAAAGCTGAACATGGAGATAAGGATTATATCTGGTGAGTGTGAGAACTCATCTGTACTGATTAATATTGAAGCATGCTGAACTTCAGTGGCCAGCCTGTAGGAGTATATGTGGTAGCATGGAGTTTTTCTCCTTTTACTTGTTTTTTTCCTTTTACTTTTTATGATTTCTATATTGCTTAAGTCTTTAACAATGTGAAGAAGACATACACAGTTTTTAAGTGTTGTAATCCTGTCTCATAACTAATAGGTAGTTAAGGTTTAGACTTGGGTCTGTGCATAGTTGAAAGCCCAGTCTCTCTATGCCATGTGCTTTCTTTGAGTTGAAATGGATCCCAGATACCACAGAGTTTTATTTCCTTAGTTGGGGTACAGTGTTAGAGAACCTGACTTCTACGTGACTATAGGGTTTATATTCTTCTCTCTGGGCTTGTAGATTAGGAATAAAGTGAGAAATGGAGTTTGTAACCTGGTTCATTCTCTTTCAGGCACTGCATTGATCTCTTCTTAGATTTCATTACTCTCTTCAGAAAACTTATGATGATCCTGGCAATGAATGAGAAGGTTAGTCAGCAAAGCCCACAGCTCAGAGGATGGCTTTGAGCTCAGTATTGGTGTGTAAGTCAGATGTAAACTTCTCAGGTTAAGGCAGCTCACTGTGCAAAAAGCAAACCAGAAGCCTTTACCTGGAGAGAAAGCTCCAAGGCCAGGCATGATGGTACAGGCCCCGTGCTTGGGAGGCTGAGGCAGGAAGATCACTGAGTTAGAGGCCAGCCTGGGCTACAAAAGGAGTTCAAAGTCAGCCCAAACTGCATAGTAAAACCCTGTCTCAGAAAGATTAGAGAGTGGAAGGAAGGAAAGAAAGAGAAAGGAAGGCAGAAAAGAAAGAAGGGTGGGTATCATGTAAAAATAACCCTTTTAGCTGGATATGGTGGCACAAGCCTGTAATCTCAGCACATGGGAGACTGAGGCAGCAGCACTATGAATTTGAGTGCAGCCCGGGCTACATAGTAAGTTCAAAGCCAGCTTGAACAATTAGTGAGACCCTGACTGAAAATAAAAAGAAAACAATCCTTTTACATTTTTTTTTGAAACCCTGAGATTAATATCAAAGGAAAAAGAGTTTTAGTGCCAGTAAGAAACAATCTATCTACTACTAAAAAAAAAAAAAAGAAAGGAACAATCTACTATATGAAGAACTTAAAAGGCTGTAAAGATAGTTGTGACTCAGAAAAAAATACTATAAACTGGATGTGGTATTGTGTGCCTGTAATTTCTGGGAGGCTAAGGCAGGAAGATGACAAACTCAAGCCCAGCCAGCCTTGGCAATTTAGTAAGACCCTGTCTCAAAAAAGGACTGGGGTCTGACTTTAATTATAGTGACAAACCAACCTAAATTTTGTTCTTTAAACTGGTATGGTAGTATATACCTCTAATCCCAGCACTTGGGAGGCTGAGGCAGAAGACTGTTGCAAGTTGGAGACCAGCCTGGGCTATAAAGTAAGCTCAAAGACAGCCTGAACTGCATGTAAGACCCTGTGTCAAAAAGACAAAAAGGGGGGGGGGGTTGTTCCTCAATATTAGATATTGAGTATGGGTCTTTGTACATGCTGGGGAAGTGCTCCATCACTGAGCCATGTTGCCAGCTGTTTTTATTTTGAGCAGCTCTTCTAAAATTGCCCAGGGTGGTCTTGAATTGATAATCCTGTTAAGCTTCTGAAGTAGTTGGGATTGTAGAGAGGTGCCACAGTACCCTGAAGAAGTAGACCAGTTTTACTCATTTGTTAGTCTTATTTTTTCCAAAGAACCATTTTAGGAACTGGGTATTTAGCTAATGGTAGAATGCTTGTGTAGCAAGTGTGAGGCCCTGGGTTTGGTCAGCACCAAAAATTAAAAAAACAAAAACAACAAAAAAATCATTCTATAGCAAACAGCCTAGGAGTTGGGGAATGAATGAAGCCATGTTTTCTTTGCAGACTTTATTCTGGAACTCGAAGCCAGCGCAGTGGTAATGGAGGCGGGTGACTCAGTAGGATTGATGCTTCTGTCTGGGCTCCACACAGCTGGGCTGAGCACTAAGCAGATGCCCTATGTTCCATCAGGACAGGGCAATCTTTATCCTTTACTACATTGCGCTTCTACCTGAGATTGATATTTTCCTGGACTAGATTGTTTCTAAGTGTCAACTTATGCTGAGGATTCATGCTCACCCTCCAGCACAGGGCACATGCCAATCTTGATGAGAAGTTGGTGGCGTGGCCTTAGTTTTGCTCTTTTATGACAGACTTCTAGGACCTGAGCTGGCTGTGATTTGTACTGTGGTGTCTTGAGTAGCCAAAGGTGGTCAGGCAGCCCATGCAGGTACTCCTGATGTGGCACTGGGTCAACTGCCTACTTTTTTTCTCATCAGTCTGTCAGCACCTTTGGGGAAGAGACATCCATGGAAGCTGGTTGAGGTGTAGTTGCTACTGAACTGAGGGGGCGTTTCTCATGGTTAATCTCCAAGTACCCTCCAGACCCTAACCAAAAGGTCATTTAAGAGTTTGAGCTTATATATTAGATGCAAAAAATTAATTGGGTGATTTTTCTCCACTTACAGGACAAGAAGAAAGAGAAGAAGTGAAATGACCATTCAGCCTTTCCCAGTTTGGCTTCTCTCCCTCCACCCTTCATTTCCTCTTTGCACACATTACAGGTGGCGTGTTCTATGATAATGAAAGGCATCAGAAAAGCTTTTGTACTTTGTGGTTTTCTCTATTTTGAATTTTTTGATCAAAAAAAATGATTAGCAGAATATAGTTTGGAGTTTGGCTTCATATTCCTGGGGTTCTTCCTCTGTCCCTTTTGTCAGCCGATCGCTAGCCCTTGCTCTACTCTGTAGTGTGCCCAACTCTGTGAGGAGTGAGGCCAGCTGAGGGAACAACCTCCAGGAGTCCATCATCCAGTGGACCACAGTTTGGTAGAGCCACATCAGTCCACCCTTCCTCGACATTGTTTGGTTTGCACTGTGGGACTGGGCAGTGTGTTTTCTACTAGGAAGAAGTTCACTGGCCCTGTGGTTAACACAGGCTCATATTTGAGCTGATGGCCCTGCAAAGAAGGCAAAGAGCCTCTTTGATGGATGTTTGGATTCCTCTGAGCTTCTCAAGCTTGTCAGGCAAATGCTCTTTTCCTTGCCATCACAAAGCGAGTGTAGGCTTGTGTGTATTCCCTTTCCTACCCATGCCTGACCCTGAGGGAATCTGCTTTCCATCTGTGGGGTAGGAGGACTTCAGCAGAAAGGGACAACTGTGTCTCATCAGGCATTTATGAGAAGGCTTAGTATGAATGGCAAGGTAGACAGCACAGATCGTTCAAATTGACCTTTTTTGTATTGTTTTTGTTGTTGATTTCTAAAATTATCACCTTAATTACTAAGTGGCCTCCACTTGGTGGCTGTGACTAAAGGTCCCAAGAAAGGAAAGATAAGGACGGGGAATGGTTGAATCTCTAAATCCTGCCAGACAAACCTAGATAAAGACTGGGGGACAGGGAAGGACAGATCCCTTCAAGTGAGTGGGTCCTTGTGCAGACAAGTTGTGGCCATGCTATGATTTGGGAGGCAACATCTTAAAGCCCTTCAGTACATTTTTGTCTACCCCCACCTGGACACATAGGGAATGTAAGACCAGAGATCCAAGGCAGCAGAGAAATAAATGTTCATTTTACAGATGCACTTTAATTTTTGGTCTACTCACCTTTCAGAAAGCTGCAGGTAGGAGCCAGGTGACCAAACTTGCAAGAGCTCCAGTTCCCTGCAGCTTTGTGATTATAGGTGTGGATGAGCAGTCCTAATGGGAGGATTGCCAGTTCTTTCCTGTGGGCTACTACAGCCAGCTTACACAAAAGGGCAGCATTGGAAGTAGTCACGGGCCTGGCTTTAATGCAAGAGGCTCAGGCTATTGAAAGTACATTAACCAATGAGATGCTATTTCTGACTTTTCCTGTTAGAACCAGTGCACAGTTTGACACAGAGGTTGCTGGTTGCAGTATGCTGTGTCACTAAGCCATTGCGAAACTTCCTGGAGTGGCTCACTTCCACTGACGATGCTGCCCTTTGACTTAGCTGCTGCCTCTAGCCTCTGGCTTAAGAACTTACTAAATGGATTTCCTTCCTGTTAAGCCCTCCTTAGCAGCTCTCCATAACTTTGGTGATTCTCTGCCACGCCTGAGAATCTGAAATACACCTCTTGAAGCCAAACTCCACCTCTTATGCTTTATTGCTTGGGATAAAGGAGTTTTTCTTTAGAGACAGTGCCAAGAATGACAACATACAAAGAAAGTACTTTAAAAGTAAATGCCTAACAGATTTTTAATACAAGTATCATTGTAATTTTCACTTTCTTTTCTAGTTCCTTGTTTTCAGCCCAGGCTGCATTCTCTAACTCATACTGTGAAGACAGAGGTGTTTTTGATTCAAAAATATATGATATCTACATAGTCTTAATTTGTAAAAAATAAAGAAAATTCCTTAACCTTTCCTGATGTTTGTGAGTGATAAATCAGGAGGGACATATCTGGGCATGGGGCTTGGGGTTCTGCTAGTGGGCTGCGAGTGGGACTGGACTGAGTATTCTAGATGTAGGTAGAAACAAGGGCTCCACCCCCTCTGGCTCCTGCTGTAAGCCTGTTGGGGTTCTCTTCATTTATGGCTTGGGCCTCTTTCTAGTCTCCCCCACCTTTACTCTGGGGCTATGGTGGTTCAAGATGCAGCCTGCTGTGGCTTGCAAACAGGTTACCCAGCAATGCTTTAGGTTGTCTTTGGGATAAAGGAGTTTTTCTTTAGAAATAGTGCCAAGAATGACAGCATACAAAGAAAGTGCTTTAAAAATAAATGCCTAACAGGTTTTTAATACAAGTATCACTATAATTTTCACTTTCTTTTCTAGTTCCTTGTTTTCAGCCCAGGCTGCATTCTGTAACATACTGTGGAGACAGGCAGTTGCAGATGCAGTTGGTTCAGGTGTGTGGTCATAGATTAGAAACTAGGAATGTTTGGGAGGCTGAGGTAGAAGGATTATTGCCAGTTTAAGACCAGCCTGGGCTGCAAAATGAACTCAAGACCTGCATAGTGACACCCTGTCTCAAAAAGACAAACAGGGACTAGGGATTTAGCTCAGCGGTATAAGCGCTTGCCTGGCTAGTGTGAGGTTGTAAGTTTGATCCCCACTACCAAAAAAAAAAAAAAAAGGAAATGCAAATTGAAGACCAGCAGATCAGATCCACTCATTCTGCAAGCGTTTTTCCATTATGGGTAGACTACTCTGCATCAGTAAGTAAAAATTGTTGTCCTTGTAGAGAGTTTACATAAGAGATTATAAATCAAAGCTTATATTACAGTAAGGCTATTCAGTCCTGGTACATTTGCCTTCCAGTTGCCATGATCATTGTAGACACAGACTTTCCTGTTAGGATTTGTTCTTCTAACTGGTTTATCTAGATTTCTCCGAGTTGACCTGCTCAAACTCTGTATGTACCCATGCCAAACAAGTAGAGGCATTTTCCTCAACTCAGAAAGCATAACTAGGTTATTTCTCTTGTGTTAACTTTGAGGGATGGCCTGTGTTTTATAAGAGACTTTAACGCCCAGTTTTATCTTTGCTTTGGGGGCAGGCACAAGGCACAATGTATTTTCAGTGCTTACAGTGTCGCACTGTGTGATTGACCTTGTTTACTAGTCCTAGTCACCTAGGAAGATAAGTCCCAAAAAGGACCTAAGATTAACTGTGCTTGACTAGTTCTTTCAAGATCTGGCAGATCTCTGTCCAGAAAGAATCTAAGCACTCAGTCTCCAGATACTTGTCCCTCATAAGTTATCTTAGGTGGGTGACACTACAGTACATCCTGAGTTGGTTGTCATGCTTGCTTTTTGTTGTGACCTGCATGGTGACCACGGCTATAATGGCAGTAGAGAAGGAAAACAAAGTTTAAGCAGAGTCCCCTCCCCAGCTTTTCATATCCAGTGGAGGAGAGCGAGCGTTCTCTTCCTCTCACTAATGACTAGCTATGCTGAAGAGGGTAACAGCAGCTTCACCCATAGGAAGAGAGCCAGTGTGTTCTTCCAGCCAACACAGTGATCATGTGGGGTTACCCACTCCCCACATTGAGGACAAGATGGTTGGGAGTTCTTGCTTGGGAGCAACACTGTGAGCAGGGGTGGTAAGCACAGTGGACCATGAGATGGCAGTGGGAGTGCATCCTGGCCTGGCAGGTCAGGAAAAGCACTCTGAAGATAATGCCTGAGCTAAGATAAGGTTCAGTCCAAGTGAGCCTGAGAGATTAGGAAAGGCAGAGGGATTGGAGGTTTCTGGCCTCCTGTATGCCTATAATTTATGAAGCAAGATTTATGACCCAGTACAAAGTAGGCAGAAATTGCAAACTTTTGCTGGGTTAAGACTAACAGGAAATGGAAGGTGGTAGGAGGAGCAATGTGGCCTTTAAGGACCTTGAGCAAGGGAGTGATGAGATGGACTGCAGAATGGAGGGGCCAGGAGGCAATTAATGTGATGATGCCCAGGCTACACTGAGTGTCTTGAGGAAATAGCACTGAGAGGTCTCTGGCAGAAAATGTACCAAATGAGCCTGGAACCTAGTAACATGCCAGAAAGCAAAGAGGCTGTCACTCAGGAAGGTTCAAGAGGAGCCTGGGGCCTGCTTTGGACATTGCTTCTGGCTAAAGATGGGGTAATGTGAGCATCAGTAACAATTATAACTGCTGCTGATTGGAGTCAAATACACTTTTAAATTTGTGATTATATTCTAAAAAATATCTAATTGGTCACTGTTACAGTTTTTGTCTAGATTCCCCCTAAAGCTTCATGCAGTCAGGTAAGCAGGCTTCTAGAATTTCTTGATTAATTCATGGGCCGGTACTGGGATTAGGAGTGTGAGTGGCGGATGGGGCCTACCTACAATAGAAGGGACAGAACCTTCTCTGCCTGTTCCTCCCTTTGTGCTCTTGTTGCTTTTGCTGTTTTCCACCACTATGAATTGTTGCTTCTCTTCCATACCACCCTGACTTGGAGCCAGCTGATTATGAACTGAAACCTCCACAGACTGTGAGCTAAAGAAATCTTTCCTTCCTTAACTTTGGGTGTCAGGTATTTTGTCCCAACAACCAGAGAAAAGTAACCAAGACAGTCACCTTTAGAGAATGCCAGAAACTGGCCAACCCTAAACATTTGCTAATACAGAGAAACAAGCATTATCCTTTCTTTTGTGTTAACTACTTCAGGGTAATAAAAAATGTTTTATGGATGGGAGAATTATAGGGCTAATTATAAGCTTATAAGCTTCTGATAAAATAATCGAGCCAGGTAATGATAATCAGTGACCACGAATGCCATACTGTAATTCAAAGAATTAAATGGATCTTTAAAAACTAGGACTTTTTGAAAGATAAACTTTGAACTTCTGCAGGGCATGGTGGTGCACACTTGTAACCCCAGCATGTGGGAGGCTGAAGCAAGAGGATTGCTGTGAGTTTGAGGCCAACCTGGCCTACAAAGTGAGTTCAGACCAACCTGGACTGCATAGTGAAACCCTGTCTCAAAGACAAGACCAAAAAAACAAAACAAAACCTTGCACTTCTCTTCAAGGTGGACAGAAAATAACATCTGTTCCATCCCATAGAGATATGCAGATGCTGGCCCTGGGGGTCAAACTCCTGTTCTGATAAAAGGCAGAAGGGAACTGAGAATGACCAAAGATGAAAGAACCTGTCCTTATCTCGTCTCATTATATCCCATTCCTCTCTTACAATAAAAAATATCTTGCGGGGCTGGGGATTTAGCTCAGTGGCATAAGCACCTGCCTTGCAAGCAGGCGGTCATGAGTTCGATCTCTGGTACCGATAAAAAGTTAAAAAAAAAAAAAATCTTGCATACCTAACCAAAGTGAGGTGGAGATTTGTAATAGAAAGTCCTTCCATTTTTTTTTAGAGCTGACTTTGAATAAAACTTTTCCATCAAGGTCTATCTCCTTTTGTGTATGTGGAATTATATACCTGTAACTCCAGCACTCATGAGGCTGAGGCAGGAGGTTTGCTTTGAAGCCAACCTGGATCACATAGTTCAAATTCAGCCTAAACTACTGTACATAGTGAGACCCTGTCTCAAAAAAAAAAAAAAAAAAAAAAAAAGCCAGTTGTGTAATCCCAGCACCTAAGAGGCTGAGACAATGGGGTCACCACAAATTCAAGGCTATTTTGAACTGAATAGTGAGACCTTGTCTCAAAAACAGAAGATAAACCCAAAACAATAGAGGGGTGGAGGTATGGCTCAGTGGTAGTAGACTTAGGTAGCCTGATTGAGGCTCTGGGGTCAATCCCTATTATGACAGACTACAACACAACAAAACAAATATGTAATGTAAACGTCAGTTTGCATTTGTGAATGTCATGTGCACAATTAATACAGCTTTATCTGTCATTTTTAGAATAATTTTAAAAGCTGTGGATCTAGGGCCAGGGATTTAGCTCAGTGCCATACTGCCTGCCAGATAAGAACAAGGTTGTGAGTTCAATCCCACTACCAAAAAAAAAAAAAAGCTATGGATCTAGCTGTGTGGTAGAGGCCTTGGCCTAGCATGTGTGAAGCCCTGGGCTCAATCCAGCACTAGGGGGAATAAAGGAAAGGGAGAGATTGAAAGAAGGAACAAATGAAGAGGGGGAGAAGAGAAAAGGGTGTAGCAGCAACACACCTTGTAATCCCAGTTTCTGGGAAAGCTGAGGCAAGAGGAGTACAAATTCAAGCCCAGCTTGGACAACATGGCAAGACCCTGATTCAAATTTTAGAACAATTCTTAGCCCAGCTGGGCTGGAGCTGCAGCAGTTGAAGGATGATGGCTGGGGCCAAAGGACCTAGTGCGTTGTGCTGCACACAACTTTTCTCTCTGTGCGGCCAAGGCCTTTGTCTGCTCCCAGTCATGTATGGAGACATGTCGGGGTCGCTCCCGGCCGGCAGGAAAGACACACGACAAAGTCTGGCGGTGTGCAACCTTGCCTTTATTTATCTCCGCGTGGGCCCCGCGAGGCCTCCTCTCTGCCACCAGCCCTTTCTCGCCGGTGGACTTTTTCTATCTCTCTCTGTGCTTTCTCTGTGCTTCCTGTCTCGTGGCGGGTGAGGCATTCACTTTTATAGGGTGACAGTGGCCAATCAGTTCAAAGCGCGCGATGCGGGCTGATTGGCTAACATCAGCTGTTGCTAGGCAGACTATCTTACAGAGCGGGTTGTTTAAGTCGCCAGCGCAATCAGGGGGCAGGAAGCAGGCGCCAACTTGACTCACTCGATGGGAGGGGCAATCTAGCTCAGGCTCCGCTCCCACCCACAGGCCCTACGTCCGCCAAGTAAGGCGACCAGTGTCGGCGGCTCCCAACAGAGACAGAACCGAGAGGTAAAGAAATCTGCATCGAAGAAGCACTCAAAGCCGGGCATGGCGGCACACTGTAATCCCAGCACTCGGGAGGCTGAGGGAGGTCAG